AGCTCTGTAGCTAGCTAGAAAATAGCTCGACACGTCGATGGGAAGCAGCCAAAGTGCAGAATGTCCTCTCGTCGCCGAACTGCGCCGTTCAACTATCCAAAATCGCTTCAGTCACAGTCCACGTGCTCATTTGGACATATTTCAAATGTGAACATTCTTTCAGTGAAGTTCTTGGCATAAATGGACACCCACTGACAATTCACAATGTCATGTTCATTCCAAGTCTTCAAGCTCAGTGTGCTGAAGATCAGATGCATTGGTTACAGAAGGCGTTAAATAAGGAGATCATCGGCACCTATGCACAGACGGAGTTAGGCCACGGTGAGAAATGTATTTCATTTCTGATGTGCAGATTGACATAAAAACAGTACGCTACTTACAAGAACCATGAGGTGGGCACGTAAGAAGCCACAGAAGAGGGCAGCTTCCATCACCCAAAATTGCGCGGAAATGAAGCTGGAGGATTACGGTGATTGGAAGCCATTTCGGCTTCTCCCACTATTCGGAAGGACACAGAATTCCGCATTCAGAACGGGTGGCACTTATGGCCGAGGTCCTGCAGCGAACAACGTGGACGGCAAGCTGCCTTTAGCAGTTACCTTTCTCGATCTAGGGGGAGGAGAACATTTTGCGCCTTTGCTATCCCTCTTTTTGGTTTATGTACACTACAAGGTCTCACTTTGGTAACACCTGTAGACCGTTGTGGACCCCCCCCCACTTACTTTGAAGCCTTCCACATTGACGTTCCTTTCCTCCTAAGACAATACAGGTGGGATGAAACAATAAAGTAGGAATTATGGTGGTCCTGGCACCGCCCATTAGCAGAGAAGAATGTGCCGTTGAGTTTGCTAAACATGCATTGCCAACATTTACGGTGCGCTATAAAAATAGTAAAACAAAAATAGGTAACAGTAGCACAATCAATGTCTGTTGACATTTATCTTCAGGAACAAATTTGAAGAAACTGGAGACAACAGCTACTTACGATGCAAGAACACAAGAATTTGTGCTACACAGTCCTACAACGACAGCAATGAA